ACATCATTATCTGAACTTGCCACCGTTTTCCAGGAAGCATGGTATAATATTCCCTTGGCAAACATACAGGAACTGTATTTATCCATTCCGAGAAGACTGCAAGCTGTTTTGGATGCCAACGGGTTTCCTACACCATATTAAGCAAAGAAACATGTTTTTTTAAAGGTGTTTGCATATTTTTTTCCAACCCCTGTATTTGGTATGGTTACAGTTACTGATTTGATACGTTATATTAATTAAAGAGTGCCTCACAGATATTGTACGGATTGAATTGGTCTATGACACCAGATAATGAAATGAAATAAAAAAATTAATAAATAAAAATAGGAAGAATAAATAAACAATTTTGTCCTTTTTCTGTATGAACAATATATTTAATAGTCAAGTTCATTGACGTGTCGTCTGCCACCATAGATCATTTTTTAGTTCTCCATATAAGTCAACCTCCTACTTTAAAGTTTGATTTTTTTTACTTATGTGCAGCTACATGAGGTAACTGATTTGTTATTCAGGTTAGCCCAGGATTGGTACCAGAGTTGGTGCAGAATTTAAGGGAGGCAAAATTTTTAGAGAATTTAGAGAGCACTAAGCAACAAAATTAGGGAACGGCAAATTTTTCAGAATTTAGGGAGACATTTGGGAGCAGAATTTAGGACCTGCAGAGAATGCACATGTTCATAAAATGTCTAGCACCAGCCTTAAATATATGTGGGAATTTATTTATTTGGGACTTGAATAAGTCTTAAGCATGTGTGTGAAATACGAGTAAGTATAATAAATAACTAAACTATATTCAGATTTAACTTTATCAGCATGCAATAGAAGCAAGACAAAATTTAGCAGAACGATGTGTTAGTTGCCAATTTCATGATACTTCACCAATAGTGTAATGTGAATAAGCAAAACTGAAATTTTCCAATTGATTAAATTTGTGAAGAAATGGGGAGAAGTAATAAATGAAAATGATATAGAAGTATTCCATTGCAATAACATCAAGTAGCAGATGGCAAAATCTGTAGTATGGTTCTAAAGAAAGATAATTTTAGAAAATTTTGCTGCTGATAGTAAAGAAAGTGACAGAGTTTGTTCAGAATGAAAAAAATTTTGGTTGACAATTTAGTGGAAATTCTTGACACAGCAGTTACAGGTCTTGGAACAGGGAAATTTGTAGTTGAACAAAAAATTATGTTTATATATAAAGTATTAGTCTCAAAAATGAAGTAACTTAAACAGCTTATATTGAAAGAAATGTTTAATAAAACAAACCATTAAATATTAAGCCTTTTAAAAAAATTGATTATTTTAAGGTTATAAGTGCTTCATTACTTCATATTTTGAATTTTATAATGTATTTTGTAATGTAATAAATATTTATATATTTCTGCATGTTATCTTAACAAATTTAAAGTGATGATCTAATATCTGGAAAAATCCCAAATCCAGAATTGCCAAAGTCACGACGAGTCCAGATCTCGGACTCTGTATTGTACAGTCAAAAGTCTTTAATTCGGACACCCATAATCCGGAATGATCTTTAATCCGGACCTCAAAGCTACAAACTTTCTGAGCATGCGTCGCGTTGACGCATGCGCGTAAGACCTTTACGGCTGCGAATATGCGTGTGCGCATGCCCAAAAATACGTTTACGCATGCGCGTTTAATGTATAACGGACGGTATAAGCTAAGCTAAAATTATCTAATTCAGTTAATGTTGCAGATTGCGTTGTTCCTTAATCTTCGAATTGGATCCGGCTTATTATTTTTTGCAGACTGTTAGAGAAATTTTATAAAAGTAAGCTTGAACTTTCGATTATGTCAAATAGAATTTCCGATATATATTTACTAATATGTAAAGGATCTACAAAGCGAAAGTATGTTTCGAAGTCCATTAAACAAAAAGTGGAATTGCTGCAAAAAATGGATAAAGGCATATCCTTTGTTTATCTAACCATTCCGAAATCTGTTTAACAATTTCACGCTGCTCTGCGGCGGGGGGACGCCGCGGCGCGCAATGAATTGGAAGTTGATCACCACTATCCTTATCTTCAGGGCAGATGTTTTTATTTTATTTGGCTTATAATTCCTTACTAAATGTAGTATTTCATCTCGATGTACTCCCTCTTTGAATGATTTAAATCAAATTCCTCGTCATTATAATTCGCTTCCGATAGCAAAGAAAGTAAAGTAAAATAATAAATATTAAGTTTTTGTTTTGTAAATTTTGATACCCTTTAGATCATAATTGTTCTTTATTTCATAAATTACAGTTTCATATTTTTAATTTTATACTTTCTGCATGCCATCTTACCATATTTAATCTGATGATCTATAATCCGGAAAAATCGATAATCCGGAATCGCCGAAGTCCCAACGAGTCCGGATTAACGACTTTTGACTGTAGTATATTTTTAACTATTGAATACATTTATGAGTTATTGTATAAACCTATTTTTATAATAAATGATTTTGATTCCTCAATAAGTTAAATTACATTTGCAAAACTGGTTACTTTCTGATTATCTGCATTTCCAGTTTCAACGTTCAGTAAAAATTCTGCATTTTTAGCATATTTTTAGAGTATACCTATGATACAGCAAACCCATGCAAGTTTATAACACAGACATTTGAATACTAGATCTATTTTGCTAAATTTATTTGACAGAAAGCCTAGTAAGAAAGAAAACAACTGTTTTGAAGAAATTTTGCAAGTCATAACTGAAAAAAATATCACTGGCTCTAAATTGTCCCTTCCCATGATTTTTTTTTATCCTTATAAAATACTTTTTTGTACTACAGTACAAAATTCAAAATCCAGAATGATCTAACATCTGGGCCATCGGGATTTTTTCCTCCAAAAATGTGAAAATGCTTCTGAGAGTTGTGTCACTTGAGTGTATGCTTAATGCTTCATAAGTGTGCAGTAGACATTTTTTCACAATAAAGCATATGGAAGGTCCTGATTCCTAATTTCAGTTTGACACTAAATGAAACAGCTGCATGTTGCAGAAACTCATTTATAAATGTATATAAGTTGACTTCTTAGTCACCTTTTTGCTGGTGACTGAAACATTTTTCTGAAACTGAAACATTCTACTAAAAGTTCATTCTTGATTTTATGGCCACTAAATTATATTCCTGATGCCAGCCTGATATTTTTTTAATTATTTTTTGTTGTCATCACCAAATGAGTATCAACTCCTGACAGGCTGAGAAATGACTTATGCAGCCATGTCTAAAGTATTTTTTTTAAGTATTAATTAGTACTTTGGCTAAGGAGCATGGTAACATTTATGTTGACATTACTCATGGCGATGATTACAGACTGCTTTGTGACGTGTTGAGTGCATTAGTGCCGTTTGATTTCAGAATAACTAATTTGTTGTTCATATAACTAATTCCCACATAATCATTATATGTGGGAAATTTAATTATTTGGAACTCTGATAAGCCTTAAGCATATGCTGAAAATAGATGCAAGTATAATAGCTAACTATACTAATATAATTCAGACTTAACTTCCTTAGTATACGATAGAAGCAAAACAAAATTCAGCAGAATAACACATCTTTAGTTGCTAATCTCTTGATACATCGCCAGTAGTATATAGCGAATGCTAGCCAAGCTTTATGATGCTGCAAACTAAAGGTTTTTGGATATTGCAAACAAAAAGTGAAATTTTGCAGTTAAATTTGTGAAATGGGGAATTAAGTGAAATAGTGGTGAAATTTTTCAGAATTTTTAAGGAAATGTAGAGAAGTGGCAATAAATGAAGGTGCTTTAACAGAAGTTTTTGATTGCATGACAAGGCTCCAATCATCAGTTACCTAGCAGATGGCAAAATTTGTAGTATGTTTCTAAATCGAGAAAATATTGCTACCAATAGTGCAGAAAGTGGTAGAGAGGTTGCTGAAAATGAAAAGATTTGGATTTACGATATAGTGGGAGTTCTTCACACGATAATTACAGCACTTGAACACTGGAACTTTGAATAAGAAATGAATTTTGTCTATAAAATTTTAAAAAAAGTTTTTTTTTGGGGGGGGGGGGGAACTTAAACAATTTGAATGGAGAAATAAAACAAACAATTTTTTTTATTTTAATTTTTGTTTATTGTAAATTTTGGTTCCTTAATGTCATTAATGTTTTATTATTTGGTAAGCATCCATTTCATATTTTGAATTAAAAAATTGTGCATATCATCTTACTAGATTTAAACTAATGATTTAAAATCTGAAATTGCAGAATTCTTCTCAAGTCCAGATCTCGGAGTTTGTACTGTATTCTTTATCAACATAACAGTACCTTTTAGCTGTAAAGACAACTAAACAAGCATTTATCACCAGCTCATAAAGTCAGTAATGAGTTGGTGACTTTTAGGGATGCAGATAATCAGAAAATACCCAAAATTATTTTTTGCTCAATTATTTTCGTAAATCTGATAGTCTGTTAATTCACCATTATCAAAGTCTCAAACTTGCCGGATTATCAAACTTTTACTATACTAATTTGTGTAAAATAGTACTGTGAATTTGAGAAAATCATTTGGTAACTGTTAATAAGGAAATATTTTGCTCTTGAATTATTTATTTTATTGAAGTTTATTAGGTCATTTTTAATTATAATTATAAGCAGCTTTCAGGCAAATAAATATAGTGAACTGGAATTAGTTTGAAATTTTGGTTTATTCAAATGAGCAATGAAAATTCCAAATTCTTGCCTTCTCTAAGACTTCCAGTAATATAAACTCCTGGTATTAAATGGTCAATAAAAGTATATTGGATGTCAGAAGATATTAAAAGAAACTGTAAAAATAATTTATGAAAATTAATTTTCAACAATTTTTGAATAAACTGTATTATGATATATGATGCAGCTCATTCAAAAAATTATTCTGCTATCTCAGAATTACTGAACTGTGCTTTTTACAGTTCCTATTTAGTTACCTTATTGTAAACTATTTTCTAGATATATAAAGCATATATCTTATAATAATCTAACAGGCAAGCCCAGCATTGCCAGATCTTGTACCTCCTCAGCCCTTAACTGGATTTGGAGAGACCATTGTAGCAAGTAATCCCTTCGATGATACAATTCCTGCTACTACTACTACAGTTCCAAACATGCCAGCACCAGGCCTTACCCATATGTCTGGTCCGCCAATGCATGCAAAGCCGGTGCCAATGTCATCTGGAAAAGTAAGTTGATTATTACAAAAAGAAAGCAGCTTGTCGGAAATATACACCTTGTTAATTTATTATAATTTATTGTACTGTGTAGACATCTAACATATTTTTTCTACTTCAAAGCCATTAAATTTTTTTTAAACAATAATAATAATTGAAGATGTTCTTTTGAAAAATGCTAAAAATTATAGAAGATAATTAGAAAATGTATAATTTCATAGAAGAAAGTTCAGTTCTTTTTTTTTTTTTAATGATAGCTAAAGGTGTTGTAATGAAAGATGCTAAAAATTATGGAAGATTATTGAAGATGAGTAATTTCATAGAAGAAAGTTCAAATACCTAAAAATTAAAATATGTGGCCTCTGTTATTTCATTTATAGAGCCCACTGTATATACATGCATGTACTGACATATGTATATGTATATATATATATATATATATATACACACACACAGACAGAGATACATACAGAGAGAGAAAGAGAACATTCTGTGTTTTTACCATTAAAATGGCAACTTTGTTTTTTAGTGTGACTTAAAAACTCAGTTTTTTTCCTATATAAATATTAACTTTAATCAGGCAAAATATCTTCCATTCCGTTAGATGACCTTTTATCATCTCTCTGGTAACTTCATGATTCCACAGTCAAAAAATTTCTATCAGTCACGTGCGATTTGAGGTCACGTGCGATTATAATTAAAACTTTTACCATTTAAGAAGTTTCGTAAACTTCAGTTTCAGAAATTTCGTAATCCGATGTTGCAAAGTTGGGGCTATGTCTGGATGTGACATCACTTCCCAACCAAGTTCCAGTAATTTTGTACGTGTTGCTAAAGGTGCGTGAAGCTTCTCAATGTTATCTTTTTCTGATGCAATTTAGCTTTCGATATGACTTTTACTGATTCATCATGACTGGATAATGATCTTTTTTGATTAATGCTATTGTAGACAATTCTTTTTCATCACCTGCTTCTCAAACCGTCAGTTGCATTATATTTGAAATTTGTAATGCAAATTTTGATTTATTATGTTAATTGAATTTCTTTTAATTCATGTGGAACCTAAATACAGTCAAAAGTCGTTAATCCGGACTCGTCGGGACTTCGGCGATTCCGGATTATCGATTTTTCCGGATTATAGATCATCAGTTTAAATCTCGTAAGATGGCATGCAGAAATTCTAAAATTAAAAATATGAAACCATAATTTATGAAATAAAGAACAATTATGATCTAAAGAATATCAAAATTTACAAAAAAAAAAACAAAAAACAGGCTTAATATTTATTTGTTTACTTTATTAAACATTTCTTTTTAATGTAAGTTGTTTAAGTTGCTTCGTTTTATGTGATACTAATACTTTCTCTTTAATTCTATAAAACAGACATAATTTCTTGTTCAGTTACAAAGTTCCGCTGTTCAAGTCCCGTTAATTGCTGTGCCGAGAAATACCGACTAACTTGGTCAATGGAAATTTTTTCGTTTTCACTAACCTCTCTGTCACATTCTTCATGTCTTTATCCATTTTTTTCAGCAATTCCACTTTTTGTTTGTCGGACATTGAAACATACTTTCGTTTTGTAGATCCTTTGGAAGTTCCAGCATCGGAAATTCTATTTGACATAATCGAAAGTTCAAGTTTACTTTTATAAAATTGCTCTTACAGTCTGCAAAAAATAATAAGCGGGATCCTATTCGAAGATTAAGGAACAACGCAATGCAATCATTAACTGAAATAGATAATTAGATAATTTTAGCTTACACCGTCCGTTATACATTAAATCGCAGGCCGAAACGTATTCTGCACTTGCCCACACGCATATGCGCAGTAGTCAAAGTCTTACGCGCACGCGTAAAACGCCTGTGCGCATGTGCCAACGCGGCACATGCGCAGAAAGTTTTTAGCTTTGAGGTCCGGATTATAGATCATTCCGGATTATGGGTGTCTAAATTAACGACTTTTGACTGTATCAAACTTCTTAATGAGTCCAAGGCATCTTGTATGATTTTTAATTATTGTATGTGATACATTTAACTTTTTTTTAACTCTCTTGCACTGTTATATGATGATTTCATTCAATTATGACTTTAATTTTTTCATCATCAACTTCAGAAGGTCAGCCAGAATGCTAGTTGTGTTCAAGTGAAAAATCACCAGAACAAAATTTTTTAAACCAATTCTAACACATGCCTTCTATTAAGCAATCAGCACCATAAACTCCTTGTGAACTCAGATATCTCCCTTTGAGCTTCAGCCACTTTCTTGATTTTATGAAATTAAAATATGTGGTAAAAACATTTATTTTTGCACCCCGTGTTAAAATTAACTGTAAACCAACAGTTGTAAACAAAAATACATGGAATTTGTTTCTGTAGCAATCTAAAAGTGTCAGCTGGAAAATCTCAAAAGAAAAAAAAAAAAAAATTAAAATTGACAAAAATATAACAAAATAAACATAATGCTACTGATTTAAGCTGTAGAGTCTTTTTTTGGGGGGGAGGAGGACAGGTGAAAAATGTGCAGTGCCCTCTATGGGACTCGAACCCTGAACCTCTCAAATGCGTGTTGAGTATGTTTCCAATTACATCACGAATGCATGTGGAAAGAAGGGAGACCCTTATATATTCCCCCTTTTGGGCAACTTGGAATTAGGGTACCTAGTCACCAAATCCTGGAGGTGACAAATTATCAATCCACCACCTTTTAATTTTTAATTCGGGTGCTACTTGTAGAGGCATTATTTATTTATTTATTTATTTATTTTGAAGGAGGAGAGGGGGAAAATGTCCCTCACCAGAGCCCTCACCAGAACTCAAGCCTTGAACCTCTCAAATGTGCATCTAATATGCTTCCAATTACACCACCAAGGCATGCGGAAAGGAGGCAGAAAATATCTTATAATGCAAACCAAAATTACTTACTTGTTGATTCAATAGATAAATTTTAAAGATGATATATTCCGTTATGAAAAAGAGAAAAACACCAATGTAAAATTAAGCAAAGAGAGAGAGAAAAAAAAAAAGATTGATATAATTTTAAATAAAAGTGTATTGATTTTTTGAAAGCAATTGACAGAGACCCTTTTAATTAAGAAAATTGTAATGCTTGCAGAGTAAATCAACTTCCATGAAAGTATTGAGATTTTGCTTTAGGAAACACAAGTCCTATGCTCAAAAGAGGGTAATAAAATAAATATTTGAATGCTGATCATCATTAAGCTCTTAATCAGTTTTATCTTTAACTTCCCATAATTAACTATAAAAATTCTTCAGTTGACGAATTAAATTTTCTTATATCTTTGACAACCAAAAAATTTATGTTCTTTAGTTAACTACATTAATTCCAATATATTTTTTACTTAAAGCTTTCAAAATTAAAATATCTTAGTTCTGATATCTTATTTATTTGGCTTTTGCACCACTGCAAAATCATTTTGCTCCTGAATAAGAGGATTCTGTATCAGATATTCTTGATAGAATTTTATTTAAAATCTATACTAATTTAGTTTTTCTCCCCTGCTTATATTACCTACGGCAGAACTGTACTGCAAAAATTTGAATCCTACGAGAGAGAAAATCTCTTATAGGATTGAAAAGTTCATGCATTATACACTCATGTCCAAAATTATGTTTACATGCATAAAATTCACGGATTTCTCAGAGACTATGACTTATAATTTAATGAATTTTCGTGTAATCATACATAACATGATGACGTATAAATGCAAAAGAAAAAATTGAAGATCACCTCATATGATATAAAATTGTAGCATGAAACAATAAAAATGGTAATAAAGTGTGACAAAGAGAGTTAAGAAAAAAAGGAATGATTCAGAAAAAGAATTAAGTCTTACGAATTTAATATGGAACATGATCTGCCCTGACTTGTACACACATATCACAACGTGTTTTAAGGCTGGAAATAACGTTGTTAACCACAGTTTGGGGAATTAATCTCCACTCTTCCAGCAATGCCGTCTTCAGAGCATTTACATCTCTAGGAGGAGGATGTATACGTGCAATTGCTCTTCCAAGGTAGTCTCATAAGTTCTCTATCGGGTTAAGGTCAGGAGAGTTTGCTGGCCAAGGTATTCGCTTAATGTCTTCACTTTCAAGGAATTCATCAACGAGGTTTGCTCGATGTGGATGGGCATTATCATCCATAAATAAAAAGTCAGGTCCATATGCACCCCTGAAAAGTCTTACATAAGGATCTAAGACCTCATCTCGATATATCTGGCCTGTCACAGATCCGCTGCTGAACACGTGTAGGAGCGTACGTCCATCGATCATTATTCCAACCCATACCATCACACCTCCACTACCGAAACGGTCACGTTCCACAATGTTTGAGGGATCATTTCGTGTTCCTGACTCCCTCCAGATGTAAACACGTTTAGAATCACCAGTTAAACTAAACCGCAACTCATCAGTAAAGAGAACATGGGACCATTGATGTTCAGTCCAGTTTTGATGTTCTTTACACCAATTAAAGCGATCCCTCTTTTTCTGTGAAGACAGTAAAACACATACCCTTGGCTTTCTGGCATAAAGGCCTTTTTTATTAAGCCTTCTGTATATTGTTTGCCGTGATGCAACAGTTCCAGTGGCGGCTGCAAGCTCTGAACTTAACTGGCGAGCAGGAGCCTTTCTGACGGGCAGTTAATGCCAGATACCGATCTTCAGAAGCACTTGTCATTCGTTTCCGACCTTGTCCAGGTCTCCTTACAACACTTCCATCATTTTGAAACAGTTTCCATAGCTTAGAGACTGTCTGTCTTGAAATATTCAGACATGTGGCTGTTTCCATGATTGACTGCCCTGCTTCTAAACGGCCGATAATTCGCCACTTTACAGATTCTTCCAAATGATACTTCGAAGCCATAACAAACCGCTTTGAGTCCCTACACACTGAAATCAAACGGTGTGTTGCAAAAATTCACTCAAATATTCAGTTTGAGCAAAGCGCTTGATTCACCCTTGGATGACGTAACGCCTAGATTTGCATATCAC